AAAAAAATATATAATCATATATTTTTTAAACAAATTTATTAATTATTAAAGCTTGGACATACTCTGAACACTTGTGGATACTTGGATACTTGGACGTTGGACAGTACCAAAAAACTTTTGGACAGTCAAAACGTACAACACTGCTAATACGTATATCTTGAATTTCTTAATTGAAATGATCTTGACTATTAATATGTAGTATGAAGACGATATATGCATAATACTATCAATCACATTCCCAAGTCATATATTAAGGTTTGATCCTTTTTTTTTAGTTATCATTATAAGATTATGTTATTAAATAATACTTAAGCTTATTATTGCAATACTACTTTATGTCAAAAAAGTATATTTTTTGATATTTTCTTAGTTCAATTGACAGATATAAAAGGACAATTTTTAGACGGGCTTAAAAAGAATAATCATATCTATTCAGAATACTTTCATATACACATAAATATGCATCGTTCTGGAAGCTCTTATCAGCATAGCCGAAATAGATCTTGATCAAAAAATTTGAGCTATAAGCATTCAAGGAATAGAAATAAGTATGATTTTTATTATGATTAAGATACCAAGCATAATCAGCAAGCTATAGTATTTGTTTAATTTATATGATTGTATTATAATTAATGCTCATGCATCAACTTAGGTCTTCGACATTTAATTTTAAGGGATTGTTACAAAATAAACCTTACAATAATAATAAGATGAAAGAGAAAGAGAGTCAGGATAAAGAAGGTATGTTTAACAATTATTATTGATCACATGTCAACCTTATATTTTATTAAAATATGTTTTTTAGATAAAATCACTTCATTAACACAAGACAAAAAGATCTAAAAACTGTTTAAGAATTTTTTTTACGATCTAAGGCCACTTATAAATAATGATGATGAAAACCAGATACAAATTCAGAATCAATCGAACAGAAGTCGATCAAGGTTTCAAGACAAATCGGATTGGAGTTGATCGAGCTCTCTAAACATATTAAGCTAAAGCAATTCAAGATTTCAAGACAATTCAAGATCTCAAGATCAATTGAGCAGAATTAGTTCGCCAGTTCGAGATAAATCAGATCAAAATGGTTTACTAGCAGTTTCAAGTTCTCCAACTATTAAATCTAAATATTTCTTTATTGAAGACCTTTCTGACGACCTTCGGATTGCTGTAAAGGTAAGCAAAAAGTTTTTATTTATAGTTTTGTTTTATTATATATATTACAATAAATAAGATTCTTTATATTTAGCAACAGATTTTCTGGATAATTGAAAGAATACCAACCCAAAGCCAACTGGATTTGGACTAGACATTTATCTCTCAGGAAAAACTAATAATTAATACAATAATTTTGACTATGATGAATGCATTAGATCCAGAAATATTTCTGGTTGCCAAAAATATTGTTTATGATATTATTCATATTCGTCATAAGAACCAACATAAGTTGTATTTATTTAAACAACAACCAACTACGCACCAGGATAATCGTATTAGAGAGAAGCATATGATTGGCAGAAAAAATGAAGTAAGTTCTATTTTGTTTTTTTTTTTTTTGTTAATTTTTTACTAATTCATTATGTTATAATAGAAGCAAAGAAATAGATTCAATATTATTGATCATTTATGTACAATTAATGATCTGTTAATTAAATTATTTCAGAATCAAGAACTTCAACCGATTAAAGATATGTCTGTGTACTATTCATCTGAAGTTTCTAAAAGTGATGAAGAGAATCTTTCCAATAGTAAAAAGATTATTATGAAAGATTTAAAATGGCACTCAACTACTGCAAGACTAATAATAATCATTATATTTGCTATACAAATTTTTAATATTCTCATAATACACAAATAGGTTTTAATTTTTATAAATTACTTTAAGAGTTATCTTATAATAGGTAGTCTTTTAAAACTAACTCAGTTGAATTATAAAGCTAATTGATTAATTTTGTATGGTCTTGCTAAGGTCTCCATGTTAATTTATTAATTTATTTACAGCTATAGTCATTTTTACATAATTATATCAATCGTATATTTGCTGAATTGTCCAAGGTTCTGAAAAAATAATTTCATACTCAAGATACCATTAGTTTTTATAAGAAAGAACAAATCAAGCCATTCTTGGCATCGAATTAGACAGTTAGTGGCTACAGAGATTTTTGAAGAATGCTGTGCAAAATGCTTGTGATAAACGATCATCCAATATGCTCTCTCAAAAGGTATCAAGATATAAAAATAAGATATTCGGAAGATAATAGTTATTCACAAATTATATTTGCAAGTAAATGAATTAGTCAAATATGCATTTAAGGTAATCTATAAGTATTATATTACTTGGGCTAAGCTAGTATATTGTGTGTATTACTATTTTTACTACCTTTAATGAATCTATATTAAATATATAAATATCACTACGCATCATGTTGAATTTGCTCAATTAAAATAGTCACCCTTTTAAAATTGATTTCCTTTTTTAAAACAGCTGTTATTTCTTCAAAATTTATATTTTTTTTCAAATCTTCAAATTGCTTATTAAAACAAATTGCTTTTTATTTTCTCATCCATATTTATTAAAGTATTTCATTATTTAGCTTAATTTGTCAATTTTTAGTAATATTATATATGGTTCTGAGAATAAAAGAAAGTTTGTTATAGGAAATTACTATTCTTTTAAAGCCTATGTCTGTGTTTTATATATTTAGTCTATAAATAACCTTAAATCATGGACTTGTCTAGATTTGTCAATTATGTTGCAGATTCACAGAGTTTTCACAAAAAAATATAGAAAAATAACAGAAAAAATTTTTTACAGTGTGACTTGAACTGCAAAAATACTATTCCTGATAGATCGGCAATACCGATCTTGATGAAGTTAAAAAAAAAATTTTATTTGAGTACTGTTTCTGATAGGGTTCTAAAAACAAACCCTAATCCTTCATTATATAATATAGTATTTTAGAGGCACTTTTTTAGAACTCTACCAGGAATGGTATGTAAAACGACTTTTTTTTTCCTACTCTATCAGGAACAGTACTAACAATCCATCAGAAACAGTATTTTTGCACTTGAACTACACTTGATTTTACTTCAAAAAAAGAAACCAATTTATATATAATCAAATTACACTTAATCTTTAGATAGTTATAATTATTAATTAAATATACAATTAAAAAATGGCATAAAGTATAAAGGCCTTTGTAATAGAGTCCAAAAAATGTGATTAAAATTTGGGCATTTATTGGTTAATAATTTCAGGTGATATATTGTATTGTTACGGTGTAAAAGACAGGATTGCCCTTCCAAAAAAAAATTTTTGCTGCGGTAACCAGTTGTACAAATTCCCAGAATACAGAAATTTTCAGAAATTGGGTAATTCAAAAGATAGTTGGAAAAATCAGAATAGTGGGAAGGATAAGAAAAATAGGAAAAACTAAAAAAATTAGAAAAATTAGAAAAATTAGAATTTGCGTTATATAAAAAATTATTATATAAGTAGAGGTTTTCTCCAGAAATAAAATATAACTTCTGAAGTTCAACACCGTGTTGATATAGGATTAAAGTTGATCTGGGATTGGCACTTGTCAATTTCTGATTTTCACCGATCGTAAAATGATTTGATATACAGATCATGACCTAGATTGATTCATAAGACCTAAATAAAATATAATAAACTATATACTGATTTAATTTATTAATTGTCAATAACAATTACATATAATAATTATTAATATTTACATTAAAATTTACATTTATTTTTATACAATTCTTTTATCATCACATATTTTTTTTTTTTTTTTTTATTCATTATATTTGAATCGATCTTTATTGTTTTATTACATATTTTCTTCAACTCTTATAGATTCGCAAGAATATAATTTTATGATCCATGAAACCTTTAACAGAATATTAGAGATATTTATTAACAAAAAAAAAACAAGCAAAGCTTGTTGGATAGAAGTCACTATAATGAATATTTAATTAAATGTATTAAAAAATCCAGACCTTCAGTATAATGCAAAGTTCAAATATTGGGCGCTTAATATTTTTAAAGTTTATCATATTGGTGCAACAGAAAAACTGCATCTGCTTAAACAAAATAAGAATAATTTAAGAACACAAGTTTGTTATATCAAAAAGTTTTACAAAGTAATTTGTGCTATCCACCAAGCAACTGAGCACGGCGGCTATAAAAAAAGGTAAATTTATGTTTGTTTGTTTTTTTAAAAAAAAAATAAAATAACAATAATAATAACAACCTTCTTAAGCAGTTGAGAATGTGATTAATAAATGCATAGTGTGTATTACTTGACATATTTCTAAGAGTTCTACCAATGCACTCTATTGGTTCCGAAGGTTTTCTAAATCATGTTAAAGTATGTGTGTTATATTAACTTTAATAAATAAAATTATGTAGTAAACAAAATTTAAATTGCTTTAGTTAATACTATTATCTCTTTTAAATGTTAAAAGAAACTGTGAATTTATTAAAAACAAAAATAGAAACAAAGTACAAAACAAAACGAAATCAAACATATGAACCTGATAATTTAGTAAAATTTGCATTTCTACTATTAATAAATTAAAGATAGATCAAAGATCTCTACTGTGCAAGGTACTTCAAAGAAAACCTAACTGTGATTCTTACTAAGTTGCCTACAAATTTGAGATCCTCAACAATCGGTACTTAGCAAATGAACTTGAACCACTGTGGCACCCTGATTATCTTAATCTCAACATTGTACCACTAAATAATATACTTTTGTAAGAGAAGCAGATGTTAGACAAAACTTTACTCAAACAATAGAAGACCAACCAATAATAATTACAAATATCCAACCTATAATCTTCAAGATGGCTGTGCTCATAGTATTAGTGAGTACTCGTCAAATATGTTCCTTGAGTAAGTAATAAAAAAAATATAATAATTATAATAATATTAATAATATTAATAATAATATTTTAATAATTTTTGCAATATTAGTGTTTCGAATAATAATATTGGTTCTAGTCAAAGCATCTGAACAAGAAACATGTTATTGCCAAAAAACAAATTGCAGCACTAAATCATATTTTTGCAGAAAAAAAAAATCATTATGCTCAAGAAAATACGAATGTGTTCTATGTGGAGAATGCAAAAAATTTTAATTAATGGTTAAATTATATAAATATTTGAATACACGTTTAAAGAATAAAAATTTAGCTAGTAATTAATGTTGGGCGAATATCTAAATCACTTTTATTCATTTTTATTTCTTAAATTTATTTTATTTAATTAATTTTTTGTTTAATGTATAAAAATTTAGCTAGTAATTAACATTAAGAAAACATATAATAATTTATTTTTAATCGTTTGTTATTTCTTAAATTTATTTTATTTTAATTAAAATTTATTTATACAGTCAAACCTCTCTATAGTCACATCTTCAGGATACAAAAAACTGTATTATATAGGGGTGTGACTAATATAGAGGTGTTCTCTATATAGTCACAGTTATATTTAAAATAAAAAAAAGTGACTATATAAATTTTTTTTTAATAATATATATATGTTGTAAGTAGGAATAGAACCATAATAGGTTCAGTATCTACTTAGATTAGAATATAATAATTATACTAAAAATCCTACCCTAACCTTAAAAATTCTAAATCAACTTAAATTCTATTCCCACCAGAGGATATAACTAATATCTATACTAAACTCTAGCAATATTTTTCTATTACAAGCTAGCAAGCTCTCCAAAAGATAGGATACTACTATTACAAACTTGTATACTACTATAGTAAACTCTATTACTAAATTATACTTTCAACTTCCAAAACCTAAACAACTACTTCTTATAATATATTAGAAACTAAATCTAAAAGTCAAAAGATTTTTTTTTATAATCTAGATACAACAAATATATCACTAGCAAATATAGTAGCTTTAGTATAACAATATTATATATTTAAGCTTTTTCTAATAATTGCTTTGCAACTAAGCCATTACTTCCCTTAAACCTAAAGTATATTAAAACTAATACACAATTTACCTTTTTATTACAGATAATATTATAGCTCAAAACTTTATACATAAGGCTTTACAAAAATATAGAATACAACTCTTATTACTATACAATATTATACAAGCAAACCCTATCAATAAACTTAGCCTATTTGCTAGTAACTAGGTTATAGCAAAACATAAAATTACTATATCTATTATATCACTACAGCAACTCACACAAACTATGAAACTTCTTTGCCAATATTACAAGCATCTATATAGCTAACTATTAATTCTTGTGATACAAATATTAATAACAAATTACTTTTTTTTTCTATACTAGATAATATAAAGAATATCAACACAACTTTAGTCTCTCACAAGATTGCCAATTATATCACAAATACTAATTACTTCTAATATGCAAATACTACACCAATACTTTATAGTTAAAGCTATCTACAGCTTTTTACTCAAGTTATCTTTATTACTAGCCCTATTCTAAAAAATATTTTCTTATTCAAATATCTATAATAATAAAGATATAAGTATGTGTTCTCAATAAAATAATTCTGATTGGTTACAATTTTTGCATAATATAAACATGCCTATTAGGCATAATCATCCTATATATAGTAATACAACAAACTACTATCAAAATTCTATCTACACATTTCAAGATTAGGTATAATATAACACAATCAGAAAAATTCAAAACAAACAGAAAATGTATATCAGGTTGGGATTATACATGTGGACGAAATTATTTCGGGGTCGAAAACTTGAAATTAAAATTTGAAAACGAAATTGTTTTTGACCTATTTTACTTAAAAGATGAAATTTTTTGACACTTTTTTTGAAGAGATGAAATTATAAGAAACATAACTACCTAAATTAGATTTGCGCTTGTATATAAAAATTTCAAATTGCTCTAATAGAGACGAAATAGAGTTTTTTTGAAAACCTATTTTGGTGGCTTGTATAGTTGGAATTAGATAAAAATATTTGAATCTAGAAACCAAAATTATATAATTTATATACTCATAAAAAAGTTAATAATCAATATTGTCATTAGTACTAATTTGCATAATATTTTTTGTTTGTTTTTTCTTCTTGTAAAAAAAAAAAAAGATAAAATATGCTACAGACATAGTTTTAATATTGTGAATAGTTATTATTTAAATAAACTTTAAATATATCAGACCTACCTATGCACTTCAGCAAATATTTTTATTAGCTTATAAGTATCAGATTGAAAATTGTGATATTTAACTTTTTTTTTTTGGTTTTAAGGTGAGGCCTTGCCCATAACTTTATTAGTAATAATTTTTTAATAGTAACAAAATAAATTACTACAGCGCAGTTGCCGAGGCTTCTACTTGTAGTCA